TTACAAACCCCTTGCCCGGCAGTCGCACTTGCGACCACTCGGCTAATGAGGCAGTGTGGTATTTTAGTATGTTTATTGTGCTTCCCTTCTGTTTCTTTCGAGAAATCAAAGGCTATGTATACTGTGTAATCGATTTGTAATTTACGAACTATTTCAGTCTAAAATTTTTCGGTAGTAGTAGAGTAAGTACGATTGCTTTAGTAGATTTTGTAACAGAACTGTAGGAAAGTAACGATTTCATTAAACGTCGTATTTTCTTAAATCTTTTGACAATGCATTCGTCTCAGCTAATTTCATATCTAGTCTTCAATCTTCGCAGTAACACCAGACTGATCAGAACAGTCTTCAATGTTGACACAGTTGTGGGCTGCTTCATCCCAAATCATGGGCTCAGGGCACTCGCACCTAGCGTAATCACATCGTACACCTATGTTCCGAGGAACTGGGTTCCGACATGTTCTCTCCGTCATGCTTTCCTGGTGACAGCCCATGCTGTATATCACCTTATCTTCTGAACATGGTCCTGTACCTGGATGAAAGAAAATATCAATTAGATAATATTAATAAGTTACGATACTATATATATGGACGGGAAAATTACAAGTCTCTGTCATATGGGGGTAGAGCAAGATTAAGATGAAATTAGATTAATTGTTAAACTGTCTCGATGGTTGCAAATTCGACTGCTATACAAGGGGTTCCGGGAATGATTTCCGGGGTATGCAAAGTTTTATTTTGTCTTTCGGTCGTATCATTCCTGCGTGTTACCCTGATATCACAGAGAATATTTTAAATAATAACAATAATAGTTTATTTGACTCGGTCAAAAAGCAGTTTCAACTTAAAATGAAAATGAACACAAACGATAAAACAATAATTGAATAAACTGGAACGAAAGTGCCTATTAATTACAATATAACACACATTATTTTAAAATTGAATTCCAAACACACGGGGACCCCGATAGTTCAGTCAATTATACTGTTACAATCAGATTTACGCTTAATTGAAACTACGTAACAATAGTTTGAAAGTGCTGGTATTCAATTATCTCGTTTTCTATACACCTGTATTTATTTTGACATAACATAACATAAAAATAAATTAGTATAACATTAATTTTCCCGCTTCTTTTTAATCCCCAAAGGAACTGGTAGAGGTGCACATTTTCAATATAACACCCATTTTCTATGGGATAAGCCTGTAATGAAGCAGACGGTTCACCTGATGTTAAGCAATCGGCGCCGCCCATACACACTCGAAACATCAGAGGCGTTACAAGTTCGTTACCGGCCATTAGTGGGAGTTACGTACGTTATAAATTTACTTAACTCGTCGAGTACAGGTTTTGTAGACACAATTATAGAACAATAGGTTGCGGTCACCGGTGACCGCTTGGTGTTTGACAGTTTAACTCGTCGAGTACCGGTTTTGTAGACACAATTATAGAACAATAGGTTGCGGTCACCGGTGACCGCTTGGTGTTTGACAGTTTAACTCGTCGAGTACCGGTTTTGTAGACACAATTATAGAACAATAGGTTGCGGTCACCGGTGACCGCTTGGTGTTTGACAGTTTAAGGTTAGTTTTCTTTTCAAGAAAAGGTTCCCCATACTTATATTTTGTTGTCTAGTGTTGTGGGTTGCAAAGAGCTTTTCAGCTTTTTTAATGAATCCGCAATATAAGTCAGCGTAGTCAGTCAATCGGCGACTGCGTGTTCACAAATATTTTTCTATATAATCTTAAATATCTTCTCAACAGAGATCTTATCTCATTATCATCATCAACAGCCTTTAAATGCCCACTGCTGAGCAAAGCCTTTTCTCACACGGAGAAGGTTTGAGCATTATTCACCACGCTAGCTCAATGCAGGTAGGCTATTACAAACTTATAATCAGAAATTATAAGCTTAGGTTTCCTGACGATGTTTTCCTTCACCGTTTGACAGTGGTGTCTGAATAATCTTAGAAAGTACATATAATTCGGAAAAAGTCACATTAGTACTTGCCTTTGGTAGGTTTCGAACCCGCACCCTCATGCATGAGAAGCGGGCGTCTTAAACCTCCGGGGCACCACAACATTCGATCACGAGATCTTCTCTACCAGAAACCAACTATAAATACAGAATAAACCAAATATTTTATTAACTCACACGATCCAAATTCATCGTAGACCTCACAATCCTCGCCGTTACAGGTCAAAAAACAGGCAAACACAAAAATGGCTGCAAATAAATTTTTGCAAGCCATTTTCACAGGATCCGATAGTTTATTGAGGCGACCTAAACTGGCGACGATATCTGATCGTTTGAATGGAAGTTCGTTGAAAATATTTTATTTGTTCACGTGGCTTACTTAATGGCGTTAATGGCATTGCCAAATACTTATTGTATGTCAACGGAAATCGTCTGAGTTAGTGGTCTGATAAAATGTAACATTTGAATGTAGGACAAAGTAGTTAAAGTAGGTTTGTTTTGTAGTTGAACACTTAAATTAAACGGTCGTTGATTACTTTTGGAAATAATGTAATGATTGTATAAACTAGATATGTTTAAAAAAACTTCAACATCTTCTTTTTTGAAGTCGGTTAATGAATATACTCCTTCTGCCATACCTTCTCCTTATTGTAACAAACACTTTACGGAAATCGCTTCAAAATCGGTTCAGCCAATCGCAAGGTAACGCGACAACCGTACATACATATCTATGTACAGGTCAAACTGGGAACCACTTATTTTTGAAGTCGGTTAAATAGTAAATTACGTATATGACTTTAAAATTGAATGGACTTCCTACAGAATCATCCATCCAGTAACCATATTTATGATTTTTATCATAACATAACATCACGCGTTTTATTCCCTGAGGGGTAGGCTGAGGCGCACATTACGGCACTTAATGCCACTGTACAATGCAACACCCACTTTTCACTATTTATGTTATGAGTCCCATATTAAACTGTCAAATACCAAGCGGTCACCGGTGACCGCAACCTATTGTTCTATAATTGTGTCTGCAAAACCGGTACTCGACGAGTTAAAGGGGTAGAACCTATTTTTTTTGTACATTATTAATTTTGCAATTTTCTCTCGACATTACACATTTACCTGCAATGGTGCAATGTTTTAATCTCTTATCGATAATAATATTTGAGAATTAATTAATCAATATTAACAAATAATCAGTAATATATTAGTGATTAGGTAATTTGTGCCTCATTAGTATTTAATTAGCGTCCGATTTTGCTGATATAATCATCTGAACAATTACCGGTACTTGATATTTATCACAAAGTTTCAGCATATTTGCCAATGATTTGCAATATTTTATTATGAGATTGAAGGAGATTAATCTGGTAATACTTTTGTAATAATCGTAATATTATTTAAATTCAATATTTTGCTTATTCATTATTTTGAGATTAAAATTAAGTAATTGCACAGCTGGTCATTATTTGCATAAAGTTCATTAAAATTGCCAACTAATGCAAGGAAAAGCGCATGAACAATCAAATGGGGAAAGATGTGAACTTGTATTTTTTTCTTAGAAATATATTAAAAAACTGAAAGTAATCGATTTAGCAGTAACCAGTATGTTTTTTTTCATAAGAGGTAAAACTAATAAACATTAGGTAAAATATGAAGGTGCTCCCTCACCGGGAGCATTCACGTATAATGTAACATTACAGATTCGACTTTGAGCATTACATTACAATAATACCTCCCTGACTAACGAGCATTTGCGTGTAATGTAACATTATAGATTCAACTTTGAGCATTACATTACAATAATACCTCCCTTGCTAACGTGCATTTGCGTGTAATGTAACATATAGATTCGACTTTCAACATTTCAAAGCAAGATGTCAGACATTGATGTTACAAGTTGTATCAAGATATTACACCTTGTATCATTATAATGTGCGCATTGTAATGCTCGATTCTCCTCCTTCACTGATGTAATGCTCAGATCTGTAACGTTACATTACAAGCGAATACTCCCGGTGAGGTTAAGATTTCACTGTAAATATATTTGAAAACTCGATAAGTACAACAATCTAAATAAAAGTTTTTCTAGACCAGTGATACTTCGTGCATAACCATACCTTTAAGAACATTAAACATAACATCACACCTTTTATACTCGAATAGGTAGGTAGAGGTGCACACTACGGCCCTAAATGCCATTGTATAATGTAACACCCACTTTTCACTATTTATGTTATGAGTCTCATGTAATAGGGGGTGAGCTTATTGTCATACATTGGGCACAATTCCAAACTCTGTGCTACTACTGAGAACTTTTTAAACCCCAATAGTACGGAAATACATACGCTATACGGTTTTGCCCGGATAATATACGGTTTTGGACAGGTCTGCTTTACTTTACCCGACCCGGGAATTGAACTCGAGACTTCTTGCCCGGCAGTCGTACTTGCGACCACATCGGCCAACGAGGCATTTACAAGTAGTGAAGTCATTTGATGACAAACTAGTGTAATTTAGTATCTGGCAGTACCTACTGTAAAAAAGTAGCAATAAGTATTTTCGAAAAAAAAAAGAAAGAAGACTATTGTATACTGACTTATCAAACTTTTCCGGTCTATTAAAGTAAATAATGGCGTCCGTTTGAAATCCCTGACCGTCTAATATCCGTTTTCCCGTAGGTTTTCCGGGTAGCCAATTTACACTGAGGGAAATTATTTTCCAGTTAATTTTAACCGTGTACTCAGAGACAAAAGAGGTTTGTAAAAGGAGTTTCATTTACTGCACACCTTTATTATTTCCGTGCGATTGTACCGGTCCCATTTAGTTATTCTTAGTACATTTTGTACCATCTAGTAGAACATTATGTTAATATAACGATGTCTTTATAATTTCGTTTTCTTCGATAACGCAATTTTTTTATGTAGCGAAAAAAATATTTAATTGTGCCCAGTGGTAGTGGTTAATGTTAAAAGATTGATGTGAGTATGGAGAAGATTAATAAATTAATTCCTATTAATATAATTAATATTGTGCGCTATGTAAGCTGTCGTACATTTATTTATCTACTAGCAGCTGCCTTCGACTTTGTTCACGTAGAATTTGAGTATATTGAGTATATTTTTTTTTGTGTTTCAATTTTCCAAAATAAAATAACCTATGTTACTCCTTAGTTCATCAGCTACCCATATAAGTCCCGTCAAAATCGGTCCAGCCATTTCAGAGTTTAGCCAGTTCAAACAGACAGACAAAATTAAAAAAAATATTTTGGTATAGGTAACGTATGTATATTTACACGCGTGTTGAAAAAGCGGTTATTTTAATATAACAAGCAGACACTCCAATTTTATTAAAATGTATAGATTTCAATAAAGGTGAATTGTGTCGGTAGGTACTCAGGGTCGGTTTAACAAAGGTGTTTATCAAAGCATCCAGATGGATTACTTAACTTTTGTTATTACAGGTCAGGGTAGCTGCACAGAAGGATATAGATTGTCCCTGAACTGAACTGATAAGTAACATTAGAACTCATTCACCTGTATGCATGTTCTTTTAAGTTTTACATAGGTAACTTAAGTATGGGAGAGCCATGCTTCGGCACGAATGGGCCGGCTCTGAGTGATACCACGGGCTCGCAGAATACCGACGTGAAGCAACGCTTGCGTTGTGTTTCGTCGTGTGAGTGAGGTTACCGGGTTACCGGAGGCCCAATTACCCTCCCCTTCCCCAATCTTCCCAATTCCTGAATCCCCAACGATCCTCAAACTCCTAATCCCCAAAAGGCCGGTAACGCACTTGTAACGCCTCTGGTGTTCCAGGTGTCCATGGGCGACGCCGATTGCTTACCATCAGGTGATCCGTCTGCTCGTGTACCGCAAGTTCTTGTGATGCGACGTCGCATTCGCATCGCAGTTTTGTGTACGAGTCCTTACAGGGGACTCATAACAAGTGAAAAGTGAAAAGTGACTCTGCCTACCCCTTCGGGTATAAAAGGCGTGATGTTATGTTAGAGGTATATTATATTGCTATGTTAACAATTCTTGTTGTTGGTAACTATTCAATGAATAATTACATATTTATATCCTTGTTCCTGCTCTTCATACATGACAAATAACAAATACTATTGTAATCGGTTTGACACTTCATAAAACAACGTCCGAACCTTTGTAGGAACCACACAATCGTTGCTTTATCGAAACCTTTGAAGTGTTCCAATAAATAATAAATTGTTTCTTTTAGATTGGACGATGTGAACAAATCGTTAGGGACAAACGCTTTCTAAGAAATTGTTAGAAAGATATGTATCTAGGAGGCTAAAAAAAACTTACTTATCCATTCATGAGTTTGTCTCTAAAGAGGTTGTTAAAGAAAATTGTAGAAACTTTTTATCTCTACTAATATTATAAAGAGGAAATATTTGTACCTATGTTTGTATGTTTGTAATGAATAGGCCCAAAAAGTACTGGGCCGATTTAAAAAATTCTTTCACCAATAGTATGCTACATTCTTCCATCTATACTAATATAATAAAGAGGAAATATTTGTACCTATTTTTGTATGTTTGTAATGAATAGGCCCAAAAAGTATTGGGGCGATTTAAAAAATTCTTTCACACATAGAATGCTACATTCTTCCAATTTGACATAAGCTACATTTCATTTTGGAAAATAATTAGGGATCCTTGGTAAAATATAAACAATGTAACCGAAGGTGTAGAAAAATGAGCCTTGAAATGTCTTTCGTCGAATGCGCTGCGTAAACTATTAGCGATAGAACAAAATAATGTACAACAATATTGAAGAACATCATAATGTCTACAAAAAACTCCGCGGTAGTATATGTCCAACTATTGTAGTTATGTCACTACTACAATCAGATTTCCAAAAATAAATAATTGTCCACCCCATGCGAAGCTGGAACGGGCTGCTAGTCAATAGATAAGCATACTAGGTATTTTGTTTAAGAGCTTCAAGAGATTTTGTTAACTAATTTTATATCTTCTTAAATAGTATGAGCTGCAATTATCTTAGCTACCAATGCTTACTAATTATGTTGTCCTAAAAGGGGATATTTTATAACGTATCAAAAATTTTCTTTTAATTTAACGTTGCAAAACGTAACATGACATAACATTACGCCTTTTATCCCCAAAAGGATAGGCAGAGGTGCACATTATGCCACTGTACAGTCTAACACCCACTTTTCACTATTTATGTTATGAGTCCCATGTAATAGGGGGTGTGCCTATTGCCATATACCGGGCACAATTTCAGACTCCGTGATATAACAGATATTTTTTTCA